CTTTGTGTCACTTCTGGTGCAGCGAGACAATGATTCAGCAACAATGTAGTGTGAACTAGTGTAGTGTTGTCGCTTTTCAGTGTATTCAGTTGTCTCTTCCATTGTATCACAAGAGTGAACTATGGTAGTACACCATTATTGTTTTTGCAAATTTGTATATATCTTTATTTTATATTTTTTGGGTCATGAAAAAAATCACAATCATAAATGGGGTCATAAATAAAAAAAGTTTAAGAAGCCCTACTTTACATCATCATTTTTAATATGACTCTGACACTGTATCCATCTATTAACATCACTAATTTTTCTGAATACTCTCATTTCTGTTTATAATTTTTGGTCAATTCCCTTATTTCTCAACCAACTCTCAGAACCATATGTGAATACAGCTTTAAAAATTGTGTTGTACAAAGTTAAACACGTCTTATAACATTTCTTTCTTGCTCCAGATATATTTGCTCAAATGACTACCTGCCTGACATGCCTCTTGCTTAATTTATTGCTGATTTCCAAATCTAACTTCCTGTCTTTGCTAAAAATTGTTCCTACGTATGAGAACTTATTGATGTGTTCTAAGCATTTGTTACCAAGTTTAATTGTTAAAGTCTCTTTCTCTCTACCAATAGTCACAACCTTTGTTTTCTCATAACCGATTGACATACTGAAATTCCTGCAGCTTTCCTCTAAATTATTTAAAGATTGCTGGATGTCTTTGGGTTCATTGCTTAATAGGACAATGTCTTTCATGTAGAGTAAAGAACCAACCTTTATATTTCCCAAACTGATGTTTGTCAATAGTTTTGATTCTTTTTTTATATTTTGGTTTTGTAGTAATTAATTAAAGTTATATTTTGTTACTTTACCTCTTGTGAAAATGTACGAAATACTCCTTCATATATATTTCCATTTTTCACCCGCACATTAACGATACTTCCCTAAAATTACATTTTAAATGGTATTATTATTATTATTATTATTTTTATTTATTTTTTTTTTTTAAACTAAATTTATTTATAAAGAATAAGCATCAATTTTAATTATAGAAATCAATATAAAAGTTTTAAATGCAACTTACCACCAATGATGCAGCAGTATGCATAAACCGTGCATTTCCATATATTCCTTCAAGCTGAAATTATTAGCAAAAGAAATTACATAATGAAACAAAATAATAATCCATTTTGTAGACAAAAAGTTATTGATTAAGAATATATGACTACAAACAAATGATTATTTATATATTATAATTCCTTGATTATCTTTTCATATTTTTTGTATTCATAATTTTCCGATTTTTTCTTATTAACTTTACAAATGAAAATATATAAACGAAAGAAAATAATTGCTTAATTCACCTTTACGAAAAGAAACATTTATCCAACTTACCACCATTCTTCCTTGGCTTACTTCTAAACAATCAACATATGAACCATCTTCAGCTTACCATCAATATATGATGTAGAATGTATGTAAAATTCTTAGCTGATGATGATCGATATAAAGTCAAAAATATGTTTTTAGTAAGGATGTCGGCTTTAGAACTAAGCAGTTACTTTCCTTACTTGCTGACTGGGTATCGAGTTTTATGACTCTTATGAAAAATGAAACACTGATACTTCTTAAAATGTTTAATTCTTGCAAACATTTTCTCACAAAAATTGATATACACCAATTAAAAAAAATATTACTCAAAGATATGTTCCCCACCTTATGCTTCATGGTGTTCTATAGTTTTGGTTCTTTCTATCTTGTGAGGATTAAGAAAGACCTTTTTCCATACCCATCAAACATCTGGCCAGACGGCAAGGGATGGACCTGACATATCCGAGACATATCACCCACAAAAAATTCGTGGTGTCACTCATCTGGATTTGATCCCAGGTCTGGTAGATTAATATCTTAACTGTCTCAACCATCTGGCCACCTCATTTTAACATTTAAATTATTAACTATCTTAATTTAAATTATTATAGTCTTTCTTTAGTATTTTGCCAGAATCCTAAAATTTGAAAACTGAGCTTTGTTATTGTTGCAGAATCTCTGATGTTTCTTTAATAAAAAATTTCTTAAACAGAGATAATGCAAATTATATAAATGACATGTATTCATTAATATTTAGATAATATAAAATCAATTTGTGTTTTTCAATTTATGTTACAAGATTTTTTTTTTATAATACAAAAATAACTGCTTTGGTAGATACTAAAATAAAAAAACTCTCTCTCTCAACCTTTTAAAGCAACAAGAAACTGAAACTAAATGTTCGTAAACCTGAGGATGATCTTTAAATATGAGTGAAAAATGTTACTTATTAAAGCTTTTTGCTGCTTTAAAAGATTACATGAGACTTAGATTTTTTTTTTCTTATTTAACTTAGATTAAGGATAAACCAAACTGTCTTTCAGCATTGAAGTTGTTTACTTGTAAAGATAAACTTGAACTTAGATTAAATTTCAAAGTTTTTTTTAAATGGAAAACTATATTAATTTAGAAGACAGGAAGTATCATTTGTATTTTGACACAGTTTCAAACATGTCAAAGTGCATGTGTTTTGTATATGTGACATAAAGTTCACACATTTCAAAGTGCTTATCAACTTAAAATTAGAACAATTTGTTTTTAAGTGTTGTTAGTGTTGATCTTTTGCACCCCAGCGATGGAAATGAGATATAAATTATAGGCTGACGATTTTTAATTCTCAGTGTAGTATTAGTGCAGGAAAGTCCTATTGAAAAATACATAAAAGCGTAGCAATGTTTAAGAAGTGATATCATGTATGTGCAAAATGACTAACGCATAACTATTATATAGGTTTGTTAGAAAAACTGGACAGCTGCCAATATTTTGTCATTGATTGGATTCCTTGAAAGGCATGAAAAAAATAAAAGGTTGGCTATCTTCAGGAAACTTAATCTTTAAAACTGTATTTTGCTTCTCCTGTAAACTTGCAAGATTGTAGCTACAAGATACCACTTCTTTTTTAATAATAGATGACTTAAGTAATAATTTTTACGCCAAAAATATATACAAATTTCAAGCAAGGTTTTTTAAAAAAGTTTTATTGTGAACATTTACACACAGAAATTCATGAATTGTGTTATTTTGATAAAAAGAAATTTATACAGTTGTAATTAATGTAAACCACAATACAACACCTTAAGTTGCTGAGAAATTTAATAAAAAACACAACTAACATTTTCAGCCAAATCTATTGGTCATCCTCAGGTTAAAATAGAAATATAAACATATTCTAAAATTAAATTAAACTATCCACAACCGTGAAGCAGATAATAGTGAGGGCTTATCAGACCAAATCAGACCAAGTCTTACCTTTTTTTGGTATGTACATTACCTGCCTGTATAACTTTAGTCTATTAGCATTAACTAATTTTTGTCTAACTTATAACTGTTTTGTATCAGCACCCTGTATGTCATCACACCATGCAAGGTCATGAAGATTTATTACACCTGTCTGCACTGATATTGCCTACTGTTCATACTGTTATATTTGGTATATATACTGTTATATTGGCATCTTCATCTTTATATTGTATAGTTTTAGGCATAGTTTTTAAGTTCACCTTACTTTGTATAATTTTTAATATACCACCTACTTTAGATAATACCTACTGATGATGCTTACTACTCATACCATTACAGTGGTGTCCTCAACTTATATATTGTATAACTTTAAGCTTAGTTTTAAGTTGACCGTTACCTTGTATAATTCTATTATGGCATTACCTTTAACTAACACCAACTGATGAGGGACTGTTTTCTGTTAGAAAACAGTCCGAAATGCATTTTGGGTTTTCATTTTCATACTTATGTAGTAACCTTTTGTGTTTATTAAATTTTTTTCACTTTAATCTCTGAGCGTTTGTGCCCATCATTTGGTCTGATAAGCCCTCACTATTATCTGCCTCATGGTTGTGGATAATTTAATTTAATTGATATTATTATAGCAAGGGCTAGAAGCAACTTTTGTAATATTCTAAAATATATAAATTTAAATATAAATACAATGGAACAAATTTAAATACAAAATAATTAACAGAAGAAATATAACATAAAATGTATGTACATGTATAAAAAATAAAAATATTATAACAAACTATACATACATAAACACATGTGTAAGATAAATTAAATAAACTATTATAACAATATATAATAATATTGTATATAATATACAAAAAAAATGCCAGAAATGCATAAACAAAAAATTAAGGCATAAATTATGAGCTCTCAAAATTTTTAATTAGGTACAGGGTGGTTATAATTAAAGTTGCACTACTCAGACCTGTCTAGAGCCTGTTCTCGTGGATGTATTTTGATGAAACTTGGTATGTATGTTATATGAACCATGGGGAAAAGGAATATGCAAAAAAATATTTAGTTTGAATTTTTGTCACTAGATGAAAAAATGGCACATGAAAAACAACAAACACAAAATGGAAACAAGCAAAAGCTTTTTATTCACATCTGTTCAATGTGCAATCCATTTGCATCAATTACATGTTCAAAATGCCTTACTGTTTCTTGTTCTTCATGCGCCATTTTTTCCCATAGTGATAAAAATTCAAACTAAATATTTTTTTTTTTGCATTTTCCTTTTCCCATGGTCCATATAACATATATACCAAGTTTCATCAAAATACGTCCATGAGAACGGGCTCTAGACAGGTCTGAGTAGCGCAACTTTAATTATAACCACCCTATACTTCCACGCAGATGGTAACCATTCAGCATCCCTAGAATTAATGCATTTATCATGCAGCTTTTTCTTATAAATTTCAATCTTTTCTGTGCTCATCGACAAAGTTAGGGAATAGCTTAACAATATTTGCTTCCTCCCATTTTACTACAAAACCCTCAGCCTGCGCCATCTGAGATAGTATTGTGGCATTGGATCCCTTACTGACATTGTGTTTGTGCTCTCTCAATCTGACTCCCAAATTTCTTGTAGTAACACCAATGTAGTTTTCTTGAAACCTAATTCCATGTTTTCATATGGAATCCTGTACACTCCTGCTCTTCCTTCTTTATCAATGTCATTCCTTAATATTTTGTATAGGTTGGGAGCTCTCTTGAAAATTAATTTGGATTTTTTGCGATCTGAAATTTCTCTTATGATGGCTTTCTTATTTCTATCATAAATGAACTTTGTGATTTTACCTATATTGCCACATGAAGCCTTTGTTGTGCTTATTTTGTAACTTCTGATCAGTGCTGTTATCGTATCTGCTCTGTATCCTAGTGTTCTGGGAATCTGTAATATTCTATTGATTTCCTTCTGCCTATCAACTACACTACTACAATAGAGAAAGACTCTTCTAATGAGAGCTCGTAAGGCAGTCAGTTTATATTGGTAAGGATCATTCAAATGTGAAGGAATGTAAAGTTGGCTGGCTATGTCTTGGTTTGATGTAAACACTGGTGCCCTTCTTTAAATTCAATATCTATGTCTAAAAATTGTATCCATGAGGAATCTGTTCAATCTTCAACTTGAGGCCATCATCATTGTTGTTGATCTTGCCAATAAACTCACTGATTTTTTGGTCATTCCTCCATAGTACAAAGACATCATCTACATATCTTTTAAAATACACCAGCCTTCTTGAAATCACAAAGAACACTTTTTTCTAGTTTTCTTAACATAAGCTCACATAACAGTCCTGATAAGGGACTTCCTGTCAGGACTCTTCTTTGTCTGTATGGATGGCTGTTAAAGGCAAATAATTATATTTTTATTATTAATACAGGTATACCTCGCCTTACGTCGGTAATTGGTTCCAGGAGAACAACGTAAGTCGAATTTACTTGTCTCCGAATCTACTTATCACTAGGCTAAACCGTAAATTACCATTCCCGGTTCTGTATTTTATCTATTAATGTATTTTTAATAATATATGGTTAATAACAATCTATTTTAAGCTTACAAACAAATAAATTTTAGTTTTTTAATATAGTACAGAAAAAAAGTAATCTACACGAATGCATGTACTGTAAATACAGTACATACTTGTATATATGTTAATATGATTTTATGTGCTTTAAACGTTTTTCTAGTGTTATTACGACTTCAATATTTGTGGCGGACAGACGTAAAGTCGAGTAAAATGACTT